AAAATTTTTATTTTATTTTTTGCGGTACTGGGGATTGAACTCAGGACCCTGCACTTGTTAGGCAAGCACTTGTTCTACTGAGCTATCTCCCTGGCCCTATTTTTTTTTTTAATGGTACCAGGGATCGAACTCAGAACCTTGCGCTTGCCGGGCAAGCACTTACTCCACTGAGCTATCTCCCTGGCCTTACATGGTAATATTTATGCAAAAACTTCCTTATACATTTTATCACACCCCACAAAAAACAATGCAATTCACTTAGAAGGCTAAGGTAGGAGGACCTCTCGATCGTTGTAAGTTCGAGACCACCCAAAATTACAAAGTGAGCTCAAGATCAGCCTGAAATGGCAAAAAAAAAAAAAAAAAAAAAAAAAGCAAATTCTGTATACTAAAAAGCATTTCATAATAGGTAAATTAACATGTTAAGATAAAACCGTGTAGTGGTACCCACCTGTAATTCAAGCACTTGAGAGGCTGAAGCAGGGGGATCACCAAGAATTCAAGGCCAGCTTAGAACTACAGTGAGACCCTATCTAAACAACAAAAACCCCACAATGGGGTATAGTGGCATATAACGGTTAATCCCAGCATTTGAGAAACTGAAGCAGGAGAAATGCTATGAGTTTGAGTGCAGCCTGTACCATATAACAAGACCCTGTGTCAAATAACCAAAAATGGGGCTGGGAATATAGCTCAGTGGCCCAAGTGCCTACTTGGCAAGCACAAGGTCCTGAGTTTTGATTCCTAGCACCATAAATACATACATACATAAAAAACACCAATCAAACCAAAAGTGTTCCAATTCCCTAACTCAAGAACTTTACAATTTATCAAGAAAATGTTGCCAGACATGGTGGCACACGCCTGTAATCCCAGACTTGCAAGGCTGAGGCAGGACAGTTGTGAGTTTCAGAACAGCCTGGACTACAAAGTGAGCTCAAGGCTAGCCTCAACTGCATAGCGAGACCCCGTTTCAAAAAGACAAAAAAATGTTCACATTAAACTATATCCATGTACAAAACCCCAATCACACAGGAAATATTACAAAGAATGAACTGAGATATCATCTTTTTAAAATGCTTTGTACAGCAAGAGAAACCACCAACAGGGGCTGGTGAGATGGCTCAGTGGTCTAAAGCACCTACTTAGAAGGAGCTTAGCAAAGCACAGGGACAGTGGTTCAATCCCCCAGCACCACATGCCAGCCAGCCCCGCCCCCTGGTGGGCTGAGCTGGCCACACACACAAAATAAATAAATAAACAAATTTAAAAAAATTTAAAAAAAAAAAGGATAAAGTTGAGAAGTATCTAGCTAAATGGAGGCACCTTGAGACCATACTCTTCAATGTAATAAATAGGACACACATTTAAATACTGCACTATTTGCCTGGTATGAGAAACCAAAAGTATAAGGAGCAAAATTTGTAACAGGTACTGGGAAATGGGAAGAAAATGTTCTAATAAGAAAGGGTAGGGGGCTGGAGAGATGGCTCAGTGGTCTAAAGCACCTACTTGAAACAAGCTTGGCAAAGCACAAGGACCACGGTTCAATCCCCCAGCACCACATGCCAGCCAGCCCCGCCCCCTGGTGGGCTGAGCTGGCCACACACACACACACACACACACACACACACACACACACACACATAAATAAATAAAATTAAAAAAAAAAAAAAAAGAAAGGGTAGGGGTGGGAGCAAGGAAAAAACAGAAGGGAAAAAATGGAAACAAAGCTTTTGTAAGTAACAGAAGAGAAAGGGAA